CTAGTAGAGAGAGAGAGAGAGAGAGAGAGGAGCGATTAATGTCATAAGAATGAATCATAAATTATACCATTAACATTAATCATTTGACTGTAAATATCGAAAATAAGATTGAGATCAATACAATTATATTAGTAGTATAGCACAATGGAAATTACGAGAGAAACCACTTGATTAAACAGAACAAGGTAATATATTACACTTACGGAGAGAAAAATATGGATCTCATGAGAGACAGACATTAACAGCAGCAGCATCAGATATAACTCCTCATGAGAATAAGAAAACTGGTCGCCAAGTCGCTCGAGCACACTGTTCTTCGTCCACGTAGGTTGACTCGGTCAACACCTTCCTCCTGCGGGTCGTTCAATCCGGATCACCTCTTTGACTCCTCCCCCTCCCCGCGTTGACCTCCTTGACCATCCGCCCCCACATCCTCGTGCAACGAGATGACGGTCTCGAACGCTCCCACCAGCGCTTTGACCTTGTTCCTCCTCGCCGCCGCCGCCGCAGCAGCCTCGTCCTTGACGGCGATGGAGGCGGGCGGCGACCCCTTTCTCCCCTTCACCTCCTTGCCCTCCTCTTCCCTCACCGCCGCCTTCCCCTTGCACCTCAGCCTCTCACCCGTCGCCGCCTGCTCCTTGCGTTCGTGTCCAGCCACCAACTTTCCAGATCGTCGGACGCTTGGCTTTCTTGTACCTTCCGCCATGTCGATGGAGGTCATGGACATCGACTTCGCTCGTGCTCTCTGCTTGCCTGCTGCGACGACAACACTCTTCTCGGAGCTCTTGGGGTGTTTAACTTCTTTGTCTCTGCTCTTTGGTGAAGTCGACCGAGTCGCCTCAGCTTCTGCGACCTTGGCATGAGGCTGTTCGTTCCTCTTCAACGGGAGACTTCTCGTCTTTCTGAGAGGAGGACTCGGTGATGCCTTCTCCGAGTTCGCTTCATTGCGTACGGCTAGTTTGTGTACAGGTGACAGTGAAGGGGCCCGTGTTGCTCTGTGCTTGGAGGAAGTGGGGCTTAATTGAGGTGGGCATGGCGTCGGAGAAGCTCTGGGGATCATCAGCTTATGCGGAAGGCGTTTACCATTGGCGGCGGCGAATGGCGGGGAAGCATGACAAGGCTGGTGCTGGTTCTTGGAGGAATGGGTGGAGCATATCGTTGGTTTGAGATAGTGTGGGAGAGACTTCTCAGGTGGCCTGGGGATGTGCCTGTAAGGGGAGTCGACGATGGTTCGTCTGCCATTTGGAGGATCGAGCCGGCGTGGAGTTGACGGAGCTGAGTTGCTTTTCTCTTTCTGATCGACGCCTTCCTTATCCATGGTTGCCGTGAGCTGCTGCTCTCTGCTTTGTGGCATTCAGAGAAGAAAATTACGTGATAAGAAGGAAGAAGACGATCGCGCTTCATTCCCATCGGCCAATAGCGGCATTATTATTGGTCGATGCAAGCCGGAAAAATTCTGTGACTCAACAACGTTGTCTGTGAAAGTAATATTATTCCTTTTGTGCATCAAAGATGCTCTCAAGAATGATAATATAATTTTTTTTGTAGATTAAATGACAAAAAAAACAATAAACAAATAGATTTGAATTTGAATACAATAGAAAGAAGAATGGAGATGCTTCTTCTTCATCTGATGTAGATAAAGAAACGTGGGTCATAAGAGAGAGAGAGAGAGAGGAAGTCATTCCATGTGGACCATTATGATCGAAGGGAATGCAGATATATAACGTATCGAGGAATGGCTGCAAAGGCGAGTTACCTTGTGACGGGAATTACCTAGCCATCGTTGTTCTCAGGGAACCTGCGATGGACGGGAGAAGGCAGCTTCGAGGCCGAAGGTGTCTCTTGAGCTCACGCCATTTCTAATGGCACAAGGGAGGAGGACCGTCGACGGCATCGTGACAAAGAGGGGTAATTATAGGGAGTCAACGTAGCGCCACATTCTAATATGGGGTTTGACCGGGTCAAAGCACAGTAGTTTTCTTTCCAACTTGGAACAGCGTCGTGAGACAAATTTTAGGAGAAGTAATACGTGGATTCGTCTAACCGTGCCTAACAATTAAGACCGAATTCATTACGTTCTAATTCGCAATGACAACATAAATGGTTGGGATAAAAGGCTCAATAATAAAAATTAAATGTGATTCGATTAATAAAAATAAAAGCTTAAGATTTAGAACTTACTTGGAATAATCATTATCGAAGCTTGTCCTAAGGAATGATTTCTCCTCTTTATGCATGCAGGCTTATGGTTCCTCGTGAGGTTGATGCAAGCAGAAGAAAACTTTTCAGTCATCTCAAACTAGTTATAGCCCGTCAAGAACAATAATAATAATCCAAACGATTTATGTGTAATCAATCATACCTGAAAATTTTAATTAAAATCTATAAATCAATAAAAAAATAACAGACACAAAATAATAATAAAAAATAAAATTTAGGATTTTTATTTTAAAAAATAAAACCTCTAAGAGAAATAGTAATCCTAAAAGAAGAAACTGCATACCATGATTTAAACTGGATGAACGGCGTGGAAGAGCCACAACTCTTTGTCATTCTTGTGCTCTACATCATGAAAGCAATATGTTTCAACAAAACAGAGACTGTATCTTCATGCGATGAGACAATAAATCATGAGAAGAAGGGGCTGCTAACATGGAACAAACAGATTTAGTGAAGACAACAAACGAAGGTGCAAACTGGTTTCCCACCAATAATTTATGTTGTCATCTTCTTACACTCAGCTGTACACACATCGCTGTCTCGTTGTGCAGTATTAATACAACCTTTAACTGTATTCATCTTTGGAAACAATCGGTAAATGAAAAGAAAGAAAGAAAAAATTGCAAGCTCACAAACCAACCTGGGACGATGAAAAGAATACCTGAGAAGGGAGAGACAGTGGAATAATGCTCAAACATGGAAAGAAGGGAAAATTTGTAAGACTCTGTCAATAACAACATGAACTATTTGGGACCAGAAGCAGCTAAAAAAGCACTGATGCTGTCCCCCTTGCATTCCTAAGTAGGGGAGCCCTAAATGAGAACTAGGTTGGGTAGGACCAGTCACAATCTGAAACGAGGGTAGGAAGACATCCAAGCACCCTGTCCATCAATGCTGTCTCTGATCCAGGGCCAGAAGAGGACCTCAGAATTTGGAAGTCTTAGAACAACTGAAGTGCCATTTTGAGTCTGTTTTGCTTCCATTTGGCTAACTTGTAGAAAGATTCTTTTGTCATGCCGAACTTCTCCTTGAACTCCGCAGAAGATAAGTATGTCTGCCATTAGGACCAGAAATATTAGACCTGAATTGAATTCCCCAACTATGAAACCACCCGAAAAATTTGTATACCTCTCGCTTGGTTATATCAATATCTGTAACAGGATTAGTGGAAGTGGTCTTCAGGCGTTCATAGGGGAAAATGGGGAGCCCTTCATCTTCAGCTTCACCCTCCTTTGCATCTTCCTGTATTGTAAGGGTTTCCATTCTGGTGTTCAATGTAGCGATGCTTCCCTTGGCGTTCACCTCTGGTTTTGGTTTGTTGTTCTCGGGGCTCACTTTGACAAACGAAAGACGAAAAGTTTCAATGTTAAAGTACAATGCATAACCTAGACCTTCATATTCTAGAAGATAGTTCAGGCATACCTTTTAATGATTTTGGTATTATTGACTTTGGTATCATTATTTCCCTTGGCCGTTCGAAAGAAGCAGAGAGGACAGCAATTGCTCCTGATTTTGGTGCCACCTTTGAAGGATCAAGCATCACAGGTTTTGGAGAAGGTTTTCTGACTGCTGGAGGAGGAGTTGACAGATTCCTGGCATTTGGGTTCTCAAAATTAGCAGCTAGTGCATTAAAAGCAGGAGATCTTCCTCTAACTCGAACACGTTCAGGGCTGAAGGACATGCTTCTTGAGCGCTGAGATTTGTCTGGCACGCTGGACCTCCCAGCATAGGATGTTGGTGTCCGTCGCTTGGGCTTCTGATAGTAAGCGCAAGTAATCAATATGTGAGTTCTTAACTAAAATTTCTAACAAACCAAAATCCTTAACAGAAAAGATTAATTATTAGTTATTATTGGAAGGTTTATATAAAGGTTGTGCAGTAGCGAGGAGAAAAAAAAAACGATCGCCACTGAGACACGATAAATAATTATTTTATGTAGCTTTTAGCTTTTCAGAGCCAGAATCTCAGACCTATCATGATTTTTTTATGAAAAATTTGGCTACAAAATCCAATACAGTGAGGATTGTACTACTTCTGTAGGCATTAAATGAGAAAGAACCAACCTAAGCAAATAGAAGCTTTGGTTGTTGAGACAGATAATTTGGTAAACTCTTAAAAAAAACAGGCTTTACAATGGACATGGTAGATTTCAGATAAATCAGGTTTACTGTAACTATGATCCAATTAGAATCCAAAGCTACCTTGCCAGTCTAAGGTTAATCAGAAACCCAAAGGAGATTTAAGTAAAACAATGGGACTCAACCATGACAGAAAAGAGAAAACCTTTAGAATCTTGTTAGGCTGATCAATATATTATTCTAAGAGTTTGAAAGGAAAGTTCAAATAATCACCTGACTACCATATATTTGAAAAATATAGGAATCATTAAAAAAAAGTGCTTTTAGGCTTTAGTCAACACATAAAAAGGGGATGCATTCTTGATTTTGTATAAAAATGATGATGAATTATCAAGGAAAGGTGCAATTGCTTGACCACAAGCCATCTTAACTATTTTCTTGTTTTTCAATTCTTCATACCTCTATATTTATCTCTTCCAAACCACCATCTATAGCTCATATTCGAAAGAAACCTGTTTATATAACTTATTGGCTATCAGTTTATTGTGTGTCATGCTACTAACATTGATGTATATAACAGAAAAAACAGATAAGAATAACCTAAAAGTCAATTATGCAACCCTAACATGCATCAAGAAAGTCACAAATAAAACAAATACTGAAACTCTTGACATTCTGATATTCTGAAATTTAAATAGCAGAGATGTTGTGAAAAATCGCTTCTTAATTTACAGAGGTCTAGTGCATTTTGAATGACTGTTATACATATTGTTATGATCTAATTAAGATATCAGTAGCTATTGAGGTAAGGAGGTTACATCTGGTGTTGGAGGAACTCCATTTTTCACCATAGCTAGCTTCCTTTGAAATGAGTTACCATGCATCTGCAACCAAAGATAAGTCAGACTCTAGTTAAGAGTACCTTGGTCTCATAGTTACAACTGCCCCAGAAACAAAATCATAGGAGACAGAAGAAGATATTTAATAAATATACTGCATATAAAATAAACATTTTACATAATGTTGACATTCAACTCCATATGCAAATGCTTACTGATGATTTTGCTGAATCCCAGTTGAAGAAGCGAGTGAAGAATGGAGGCTCACTTCCTTCCATAATGATATACAATGGGGTTTCTCGAGAGAGATTTTCCATAAGAAAATCTTGTTCAATATATTTCTGTTAGAAATAGAAAAAGGAACTTAAACAAACAAAACAAAGGACTTTCTGAAAAGTGACATTTTTATGCTGCAGCAGATAGAAGACAATGGTAGAAAGAAAAGCATTCCATACCTCTGCAATGCTAAAAGCTTGCAGTCGGATTTTTGGGTCCAACTGCTGCCCTACCCATACATATATGTCTGAGTGACAGTCCAGAATGAAGAGATCCTCAGTCATCAAGTCATCTTGGGTAAAGTTGAAAATCTCTGTCACCTGTAACCACAATACAAACATGTTTGACAGTTTCGCTTTCTGTTAAACAGGGATCCGCTCAAGAAGATATTATGGACTACATACCTTTAGGTTGCCTTCATTTTTCCATATGCATACACCATATATTCGTTCCATGAAATAGAACAGCTAACATTAGCACACCTATAAAATGATAGAAAACAGGACTAAAATAGGAACATAGATGAACAACATGCACCTCTAACTTCCTACCTTTTGAGAAAGTACATGAGAATAGGTGAGGATCATGTTCTGGCTCTTTCCCAATTTTCTGACTGGGGTGTTCAGATTTTCCTCCTAGTAAACTCCAAAACTGTTCAGTTTCTGTTCCTTCTTTTTGTGTTTTAGGCTGCACATTTGGCTGTCCAAATTGAAAAAGAATAAATAGGTGGCGAAGAAAAAAATCCACCAAACAAAAAATCTCAATTATGGACAAGAGGGTCAGCCACAGAAGGTTAGAATAGAACAAGTATTAAGAAATAAATAATATGTAACTCATGCGGGTGTTTCACAGCATTAGTTACTGCATTAAATAATAAGACATACTTCCTCAACTTATTCAATGATTAAATAATAAACACCTTCAGGGACAACACGCCAAGAATCAACTACATAAAGCAGAACATCAGATACAACAACAAGAATTAGATTAAAGAGAAAAATAATACCTAATAGCTGCCAAATTTTTTGTTAGCTATAGCAAGACTACGAGTACATTCTGTTACTACTAACATGAAATGAGTGAGCATGTTGTCAGATGAAACTAGATCTGTCACACATTCTGACAGGGCCATTATTATGAACACATGATCAATGTGGGAAACCTTTACCATGCTATGTTATGCTTTACTATGTTGGAAATAAGTAATTTGCACTTTGTAGCCTTCTCTCTACACATATCAAGGTCTTCAGGAAGTTGGATGGAACCAAACAGTGTGAACAATAAGCCAATGTGACATCAGGAGTACTAGAAAATCTCAATCAGTAAACCATCATATCATGCATAATGAAACACTTGGGTTAAATCGATTAGTAAAATCTAAAAACAGTTGAAGAGATAACCAACTAATCGCCTGTCATATATTTTGATCTAATTCAATGAGATTCAAGAACCAGAGGTTCCCAAGGCGAACAAGTCATACAGCTAAATTAGGATTTCGACCTTGTCTCATGGAAATAGGATCACTATGAGAACTTGCAGATAAGAAGAGACACTAAGGCAGAAGATCTGGGTAAGGGGAAAGTGTTTGAAAGCATGCATAACAAGAAGTTTGGGTGCTCAGTTACAGTGCTAAACATCCGACCATTACATTGATCAGTCTTCACTTCAGTTTAGATTAAGGATATAGCAACTATTAAATTGTGAGGATCAATTAGGGAACAAATGAAAAATAGTGATGAAATAGGCACCGGTTCCACCTTGATTTTAAAATCTCAATAATTCTTTTCTTTTATCATTCCTTCTTAGAGTAAAGTCTTTAAGTGAGAGAATGCTTCTCAAAGCTCCACACCATAATTTAAAAATGAAAAGTATCTCAGTCTCTCGGATGTTCCTATTTTCAGACATAAAACAGGTACCAAAGTCTATGGTCAATGGATAAAATTTTCAGGTGTTTAGAAATTGAATCTCCTGTTTATAGGGAGAAAGATAACTCTATAAAATATACAATGAGCTATTGAACTCAAACATCATGCCGTTGGCAATTTGTTATTTTCAAAATCATGAGGACAGATTCTGGATTCCTTTAAGTTCAAAGTGGTTATGTCAAATATATGTATATTGATAACCACTGGTACAGCCATTACCTATCTTAATGGCTTATGGAACAAACAATCAATTGCAAAAGCTTTACAAAACTAATTTACCACATGAACTAGATTTTGTCATACCTTAATCAGATCTAGCTGCCTCTCAACTAGTTCTTGATCCACAGAGGTGGTTAGGCTTCCGGACCATGTGAAAACAATACTGCCACTATGCAGTATGTAACAGTAGGATGAATTCAAAGAAGAAGCTACCTGATTAAGAAAAAAATAAATGTATAAGCATAGCAATAAAAGGTTTTAAAAAATGCCAAGTTTAAGATATGTGGTATATTGAAGCATTGTTGCATTAAAAAATGAGACTATGGTGGATCTACCGGTTCTACTTGAATTGCTTGCATATTTTCTGGTCCAGAACCTTGTATTCGGAAAAGTGCAGCACCTTCCTCTGAATATGTTTCATCAGTTGTGCTGTTTTCCTTGACAAACTTCTTATACCCAGAACTTACCCCACCCTGTAATATTACACGGGAAAAGATCAGGCGGAGTTTCTTATAGTAGAAATAAAACTACCACAAAAAGATAGCTTCAATAGCAGAAATACACTCTCAGATGAAGAGGTTTTTGTTAAGGGTCAAACCTTGAAAACTAGGAAGCTCTGGAAGATAGAGAATAACTGTATCGGTTCCTTTCCTTCATAAAAGCGAGCCTGCAAGCACATGATCAAGAAATTGTCGTTCACAATATATTTCTACCATATAACCTGTTATTTCAACACACTGATGTAGTAACAGATTACCAGAACAGCTTGTGACTTCAAATTTTCAACCATCTTGTTAGCAAGTGAGATAGCTGCAGTCCTCTCCTCCTGTAACCAGTCATAGATGCTTCACAATGCTAGATATCTATGATACTCATGGTTAACACTTAACAGTATCTTCTAAGCAAGTTGCAGACCAACTGACGACGTGCTGAAACAGTGTCGATGAAAATCACACGTATCCAGAGAAGTCAATATAAGTACATTCATAATTACATTCTTGAACTGTTATGATTGTGTCAGTAGTACTTTTGGCCATCATAACTTCTGAAGTAAATAAAGAACTCTAACAAATGACCTTTAATATTTTGTTATATTTAACTAACCTGATGTACATATGCTATAGTGATACATGGACTTTAAGCATAACATACCTATTACTTGAAGATTAAAAATGAGATGTTGGAGAAGGTGTATGAATTAATCAGTTTGCCAAACTTCAATATTTCCTTATCCTGGTGATTCTAGTTAAATATTTAGAAGTATATGCCACAAATAAGTTCAGAGCTTGAACATTAGCAAACTATTCACCAAATTGTCAATCGAAGTAGACTATATCTGTCACGACCCAAGTCTGACGAGCCAACTGCCCAATAACTCCATTTTGGTCCTTCAACCACGGACCAAAATGCCTAAGCGGGAGTTGTCATAATACACTCATCAAGCCTATATTAGCCAATCATAATCATTGCCCACTTCCGATGTGGGACTAAGTGGGGTGTTACACTCTAACTCCATCTATTGGATAACCCTTTCCTACTCAAGCCCTCTCATTTTGCCCAAATACTAGATTGACTTTGATACCAAATGTCACAACCCGAGTCTGATGAGTCAACTGGCCAATAACTCCATTTTGATCCTTCAATCACGGACCAAAATTCTTTTGCGGGAGTTGTCGTAATACATTCATCAGGCTCATATAAGCCAATCATAGTAATTGCTCACTTCCGATGTGGGACTAAGTGGGGTGTTACAATATCAGTGTCATTCTATGATACAAAGCTTATACAGACGGATTTCATCGGCAAAGCAATTACTTGTATCATATATGTGGTTGCATAAGAGAGCTGCAAGGGCTTGTCACTCTTAACCAATTAGCAGATATAACAGAGTTCATCAACATTACAAGAAGTTACAAAAGATAACCAAGAATTTTTTCTCTGTCATCTTCAAAATGAAAATGAATTAGGTTGCTTCTAAGAAAAATAATTGATTTTTTTATCCTAGCACTCCTCTTAAGTCATTGATTCCCTGGAACTCGTGACTCCCACTCGCACTAATCTGCTCCTCTTGACCCTCTGCATTGGGAAACAGGGTTCTCTTGTTCTTCTTTATATTCTGGCCCATCATCATTCTATGGTCTATCCTAATAGATGTATCATAAGTGTCTCATGAGTCTGCCTTTTATGTCTAAATATCCAAGTATTTGTTCACTTTTCCGCTTGATCTAATTCAAGTCGCACCAACATGGATGCTCAATTGATAATTAGGGATCTGGTAGGGTAAAATCTATTATTCAGGAAATGATTATTTAGTAATATTCATTTAACATTTCCAATTTTGTGAATTACATGACATTTGAGCAGTAAACACTCCTAGTTACTCGATAAACAAGCTCAAAAACTTTGAAAATTTACCTCAACGCTCATCTTCCCAAACCAAGTACCAATGAGATATTCCTCTTTTTCTTCTCCAGGATATGCATATTGGAATATATAGCAATCTCCACTGTAAAATTTAGATTGATCTGAGGGTGGAAGAAGAATCTTGTTTTTACCATTTATATGCCAGACCTGTACATTAGGCAAAAAGTAATATTTAGCATAAAATGAGATATATGACCTGTAAAATTGCAAACAGCCTCCTCTTGGACTAAGCCAGCACCTGTAAATTGCCACTGCAATCAATATATGGTTGAGGTTCATCTTTGGCAGGAGAAGCTTTGTTAATGCCCTTTGCATTTAGTCCTTGGCGTTTAAGAAATGCTGCCAATAAAAGCAATAACTCATCACATATTGTACAAACTAATTCTCAAACTCATGCAAAAAATAATGACAAAATTTTAATGCATATTAAAGAGCTTTTATGTTATTCCACTAACCTGCAACTTTGCCCCTACTCTCGTCAGATACAACTGCATCATTTTTCTGCGGCCACTGTTCAAACTTGGACCGGAACATTACTGTCTCAAATCCCTCAATTATCCGAATAACATGAGCTTGTGGCCTGCCAGGTTCGAGTAGTGATTCCTGTGCAACATAAATGACACTAAATGGTAGAATTACCATGAACTTCAAACAAGCATAAACTAGGATACAAAAGTGCTCTTGGATGCCAATCAATAGCATGGATGACATCAAGCTGAGTAGACACTTGAAATGAAAAGACAATCTCCCTAGGTTATCAACTCCAAAACCCACAATCTGGAATTTTCTCAGATACAGGAATTCATATGATTTCAGGCATTCAGAAAATCTTCAGAATGTGGGCCTCTGTAAGATTCCTCCCACTTCATCTCCTCACCAACTCAGTTCAGGCCTTTGTGCATGTGAAAAATATAATAGATCAATTAGAGAATAAGAGGCTCTAATCAGAAAAGGACTTACTTCTGCTGCAGAACTAGCAGCTTTCCTTTGTGCAAGGGATGAATTTCGGCCCATCCATACATATATTTCAGTATCACAGTCGAGCAGGTAACACTTGTATGTGTCCAGTAATTTTCTTGTCAAGGAATCTGCTTCAACGGGCACAGCTTGTCCTTTATCAACACTAGAAGGCAAAATTTTCCATATTTGAGATGCATTAGTAACTAATATGTGTGTAAAAGTAGTACAACAAAAACTCATTTTGTTAGCATATTAAGATTATTAAATAATAAATTACCATAGCAGCTTTGCAGAAAAGGTCTCTGCCTTCCTGTCACCCTCAGAAGCTATCTTCCTTGGAAGAGGAGCAAAACCCCCGAAACAGCCCCAAAACTCTCCAGCATCAGCATCAGCCATCAGCTTCCCATCCTCTATCCAAAGATCAATAAGTGAGCAAGTTTTTTGTTGCTAGTACAATCACTCATTGGGACTTATAGAGGTCATCTTACCAACAGCTGCCACCTCACATTTCCCTTCATGGTAAGTTTCTTTGATATATTGCACAACTTCAAGAGCTTTAGCCCTTTCTTGAATAGATGAATTAGATCCACTGAACTGGAAGATCTTGGACTCAGAATCCAGAATGAATATGTCATCATGATTGAGAGATGATCGAGCAAAAGGGACCTGGTTATGAGTTATGACAACATCACCAAACTTAAGATCGTATTTGTATAAATCCCTTAAGTCACATGTATCTATAAAAATAACTTGCCTCCTTCACATTGACAACATGCTTTCCTCTGCAAACAAATAAACGAGTCACATGCTCTCGCTCATTTGTCTCAGTATGTTTAAACCCAGATGAAATACCACCATCCTGTGGTATTATACATGGTTTGAAATAAGAAAGGAACTTCTCAGTCTCATGACCTTGGACTTCACGATATTGAACAGCACGACCACCGAGGGCTGCATCAAGTTCAACCGTCTTGATTGCGGCAGTCCCAGCTTCATCCTGTTTACAGCAACAATTAAAGATTATACTTGGATAATCATTACGATGAGGTCCAGGACTATCCTTCAAAAAAGAAATTGGTGAAAATATACATAATGAATACCAACTGACCTGGCTAGTATCTTTACCAAGCCAATAGTGAATATCATGTTGAAGAGAACCACTTTTTAAGGCAGTTGTCTGTCCAAATAAGATAATTTAGTTTACCAACAAAGACCCATTATAGATTCTAGTAAGACAAAAATATATCAATTAGCAAAAAGGGAAGAAAAATGCATAAATCTGCAACTAAAGTTCCTCTATAAACAAAGACAACAATAAACTTAACCTTCCGAGAAGATATTCCTAATATGAAGATAAATTCGAATAAGTTGCATCCTGTATTTGCAAAACATTGAAACCAAATTTAAAAACAACCACATCACATATTTATAGTGACTTACTTGACTTCACTAAATAACATAATGAAATCCATTATACTAAGCATATCAACAAATCACTGAAACCTGTGCAGGTCTAGTCATCCTTTGACTCACAAATCATTGAGAAAATCTATCAAGCTCAAAAGATTTTTCATACTCAACTAACATAATGAAAAATACCCATTGCAAAATCATTGCAATACTGATTCCAAAGAGAAGACAACAAGAAAATCCTTCATCAATTCAGCATAGCACAGAAGTCACAGCATGAGAACTTAAGACTAGCTTACTAAAGAGAACATTTTACTGATAAATAAAGAAAAAAGCAGCACATAGAAGTCAGAATGCAGTCTCACTAATCCTTCAGATGAGCTTATACACTAACATATACATATTCCACGAATGTTTGAAAAACAACAAGCATGAAACCTCACATTAGGCTGACTATATGATAGCATATGGATAGATAACAGCTTTGGTTAGAAGAATCTGTGCCTCAATTGTGTAAAACATAATTTAGAAATTTATGTTTTTTGCTTCATTCTTCAGCCCAGTCAGTGCTTTTGGCTGCATAAGAACTCTTCAACAAGTCCAAACTATAAACCTGATAAACTAGACTCTGTTTATATTAGTTAGGATGACATAACAGTACCTCATCCTGTACACATTGTTTTCGAGCATTCTGCACTTTCAACTAACCCACCTTATTTTGATTTTTCAGATCTAACACCCAAAGACTCATTGTACTTCTTAACCAAGAAAGCAGAATAATGTAAAATCTCGAACTACGAAAATAATCTAGGTCATCTAAATCTAATTTAGGTTACAAAATTAAAGTGGATTTTGGTGAAGTAATCTAATTATCAATTAGTGAAGCATATGGAATCATCATTAATAACAAAATATCATAAAATACCTTAAGAATCACATATGAATCTCCAGTGAAAAACTTCCCATAAGATGAACTCGGTACAGGGACTGGGTGAAAATTTTCAATACGCCATATCTCCAGTCCACTGTACTGTAGTTAAGGAATATCGAACGTGCATATATCACAATATGTAGAACCACAAGAAGACAGTAACGAATGATAGAAAAAAATGAAGGGCAACAACATCCACAATACTAGTCATGCATGATTTCATCAGATAGCAATTATATTATATAGTTCTTCTCTACTCAATAATTCTACCAATGGTTTTAGTTCTTCTACTTCAATAACTATTTCATGGTTCCTAGGCTATTAATGATAAAGAGGACTGCTTTAACATTAATTGTTTTAAACTCTTTCCTCAAGCAATTAGAACCCATTCATTCCCCAGTAGCAATCTCAAGCACTTAAAAAGCAAGCAGTGGAAGACGAGTCTATTTGATTTTCATTTTGATTTTGCAAATGCAACTGTTTAACAAGATGTGGAGTCACTTATGTGACTTCAAGATCAGGAACAAATATCAAGTCAAGCGGACTTCTGTCTTGGCCAGTTGGCACATGCCAAAAAACCCTACCAACAATGATGATATCTGGCCAACCAACCATTTGGCTTTGGCCTGTGCTGACTGGCACAACTGATTATAAATCTAATCTAGAAAAGAAAAAAAATGATTTAGAATCTGACTATTCATGCATCCTCAACCATTGTTAAGTGTTAAATATGTTTTTGCTGAGAATTTCTTCCAATTTTTCTGTAATCTTTGTTTGAAACTTGTACTAAATAAGAGTATATATCCTCTTACTATTTGCATTAGTAAACAGTAGAAATTCAATAGCCTTAAAAATAGAAATGAGAAAACGAAAATGGTATAATGAAGTCATATGACATGGATACGCCTTTTGCCCAGCTCCTTGAAAAGCTGAATCCACATCCTTCATGGACACTGCCATACTGGAAGGACTAGCTTTGGATGTTGTCTTAAAGCTAGAAGAAGCAAAATTCTGCAAAATAATATCAGGAAATTAAAAGCTATTAGTTAACTTAAGTATAAATTAATAAAGAAGGTAATAATAACTGTAAGTTCCTATATGATGCACAATGCTCAAGTATCTTCCAAAAGAAAGCTGGGTCTAAAGTTTAGTTATAGCTTGCTGATTATGTGATGCCTCCAAAGCTCAAGAGTTCTTGAAATGGACTAACCACAGATTAAAAACCAAGAAGCAAACAAAATCAAGGCATGGGATGATACTATGCAGTAGTTAGTATTCAGCAAAGGCAAGACGGCATAACTGAACAGACAGGACACTATAAGATCTCCAAGTGGGACGATCTCCATGGTTAGTATGTTAGCACAAAAATATGGAAATTATCGTATGCATCTAACACAGTGTGCATCTGATAAACAAAAATAAGTTGCTGATTTTATTAGTATGTGCTGATTCATGATACCCGCAGAACTCCTAATTATAAATTTTATAGTATAAATTAAATGGCCAGTCCAACAATGAGTTAGCAGCTGTTGGCCTAACAGCTAGTCTGAATTAGTCATTAAATTAGACAAATGTAAATCAAGTTTTGTTCAAACTAATTGAGTAATTTCCTAGATTGAGTGTTTGATAGTCATGATACAGTAACAAAATTATGATTAGGAGTTACTTCATCAACCACTTTTGGTAGGAAGAAGTGGTTATACAATTCTTCTTCCCATCAAATTATCACATTTATCTTGTTACCCCCATCTCCAGTCAGTAGTTAATTTTCATTATTTCAGTTGATTGCATGTGGTATAGTTCGGTAGAGCATCCAGTATACTGATGCCATACCCATCCAAAGGTTATCAAAACCATTATTAGATTGAGATTTAAAAAAAAAAACTTGCACTTAATATTCTATAATTAGACATAGAGTTGAACATTTTACCCCATTGTGCTGAATTTTCTAGTTACTTAATCAGCAACAATGCAACAAGTTGGCTACAAGGTTGAACTTTTGGTCTGACACCTATCAACAAGCTAGACAAAATTAACTATGTACACTGAGGTCATTTCTCTAATAGCGCAATCCCAGGCATGTTTCACCAAAGCTTGGTTTATAATTAGTTTGTTTCAATGTTGTTCAACTAAACCATGTATATGTTTTAGTGCACACAACTAATCATGTATATGCATTACCTCGGAATATTTGTGTATCAGTAATCACAAATCAATATAGTTGTTCTTAACTGTGTATAAGCCACAGTTACCTGTATATAATAGAATCTGGAATTGTGTAAACGTGGATTATAATGTCCGCAACCACAAAATTTCCTGTGACTACATATGACGATACCAGTAACTGTGGGATTATAATGCCCAACCATAGAAATTGTATTTCCTGCATCTTTGTTTAACTTAAAACCTGTTACTAATTACAGATGATGGCATATTATGCATGTTATTAACACATAAATTTGGCAGTTGTTTGATTTAATGCAGCATTCATACAATGATTATAGAACTAAACTTTGCATGTCCTTTTCAGTAGTATTCAGGATTTTTAACCCCCTTCCAATCAACCATTGCATCAAAGACACAAAAATGAATCTGAACTTAATCACGTGAAAAATAAGGTAGCAATGAACTGAAATGAGATCATCACAGTTTAATCATGTAGACATGAGGGGCAAGATAAAGGAACTCTTAGGAAGATAAAAGTAGATATCCTGCTGTGGCATATCTTAAATGCAAGCAAAACACTTTGATGGCAAGATGCAATTTAGGTTGGAGGCAATATCTGAACACTTACAACCTCAGCACACGCCATGACACTAAAGGTTCTTGTCCGTATGACGCTTCATTTTTAATGCCACAAGATTCAAAATACGCATTGGAGCCACAGACGTCTAGCCCCGTCCAACATCAAAAGTGCATATCTTTACATACGCTTTTGATCTAGATCTCGTCCTTAAACACAAGTAATTAACAGAGTGCATCCACCAAGAATTCATGGTGCTCTAGTGGCAACTCATGCAGCCAAAAACCAAATCTAGAAAGTACAGCTAGCTGGCAAAGGCAGTTTGTGCATCACTTAGGAACAGATCAGAATCAACATTATCTCAAACTTCACAACTAATCTGCAGCGCTGTGCGGGAAAATTCGATTAAGCTCTGAACAAAAGTCTGGATCACAGATCATAAGATCTGAGGGAGAATAACGTGCAGGAATTTTGGATCACATTAAGATCTGGACTTTAGCAGATGGATTCAGCGAATGCTGTTCGTGAATTCGAACAATTCAATTCCTACAAGATCAGCCACAAACAGTGACAGTCCAAATGATCAACAACAGTCTCAGCGATAGCCAACTAAGGTCTCCACAACTGAATTCAAATCCAGTCATCGGTAGCCTAACGGAGAACCCAATAAACCGCACCAATCAACGGAATCAAAGAGTGGGAACCATACCTTAACGGGAATCCTCGGCTTCTCCATCCCCATTCCCAAGATTTCCACCCAAACAGAAAAAGAGAGATCGGCCCCCGAGCTGGGGGAAGTCTACGCCACGACCAAGAAAACCAGAAACCGACTCGAACTCCCACGAACTAACCACACCCCCATTACGAATAAAAAGGAGAAATAAAAACCCGGTAAATGCGGAGAAAAATCGAATTAAATAAGAAATCGCACCTGCGGTGGCTAAGATCGTGCGGCGACACCGACGCAGGTAGAGGGGCGCACGTCGGGAGGCCTAGTCGCTCGACCGATCGATCTCGGCGACGAAGCGAGAAGGGAAAGGTCGTCCAAGACGATAAATGGAACGGGAAAAGGAGCACAGTGCAGGGGGAGGGGGGCCGAATGATGGTGGGGTGTGTGTGTGCTTATCACTGCTGGAATCGGGAGGCGACGGGGCCCTCGCGACGCACCGTAGGCAATAAAGTAAGGTTAATTATCACGGAATTAAGCACTTCTTTTTCGAAGAGCGGGATTTAGTTCGGAAATAAGATTAAGTTGGTGATTGTATTCGAGAATAAGTAGACAAAGAAAGGGTGCGCCTTTGTCCTTCTTTTCGAAGTCGGGAAAGGAAGACAGGTCAGGGGGCGGTCACCGCCCAACCGCGGTGACAAAGAAGTCGCACGGAAGAGTGGGGTAGCAGAGGGGGAGCGAGGGGCACACGTGGTGGGTCCCGATGGAAAAAGAGTACCTACCGCGTCACCTGCACGACTGACTCGGGTGGGTCCATGGTGGGGCTCACGGCTCCCAATCCAATCATCTTGACTGCTTTATGGGGGTTGGTTGCGGTGGCGGTGATGAGCTGGAAAGGGCGACGGTGAACGGGTAGGTGGGTGGAAATTTGGGAGTTAATTATAGTTGAGTGGGTTCAACGTGGCTTTTTTTTTTACTGTTCCATTTGATGCGCAATGATTTTGTTTACACGCGTCTCGATGACCACGCCGTCGCCCGACGACGTGGGCGATGACTATTGGCTCCTGTTCCGGGGACCACGGTGAGAGAGAACTAGCTGCCTTCTGACACGTGGCTTCGGTGCTTCCGGCGACGCACGTGGGTAGCGAATGATTGACAAGCCCGAGATACGAGACGCGAACGCGAACGCAGCGGCACCCGACGGCCCCTCGCCACGTCGTTCGCGGCTGGTCGCGGGACCCTCGTGGGTGACCGTACCGCTACTTTCTGGAGCTCTTACACGAATCATTAAATATGGTGTTTTACGACTGCATACATAACACTGAAACAGCAGCATAAATGACCAAAGAAATCTGAAAAGACTATATACGCTAATGTCAATAGGTGGATAAGTTGCACATTGATATAATCTAATTAAGTCCAAGTCCAAAGTATACTATCAAGTGGTATGGGTGATTTGATATCTGAAATGCAATCTTGATATCTATTTAAAATAATGATGGATGGATATGTAACTTTCAACCATGAAAAGCTGTTGTAAGCAGTGAAGTATCACATTACAAAGATCATTCTTTGTTTTCCATCTTGAAAGCAAACAGGCACATCTCATGAAAGAGTGGTAATTGAGCTATGGGCTTTTGCAATTAAACCATGTTTAGCATCTCAACTCATAAGAGGCATATAGCCACAGTACTTGACCAGAAGATTTCTAAAACCACAAGTGGACTGTTTGAGTTCTATGATTTGTATATGGTAATGCAAACATGCAAGTAATCCATAGTTTATTCACTATCATGATATGTTAAAGGATAACCACAAGAAATATTATCCAAAGATACTGACCGATACTAGCATTACAAATGCACTCACACCTAAACCTGTTTGCAACACTATCCAGATACACCATCAACAAGATTTAACTCATCCATACCCTGACTGATTGATGAATGAGAGATAAATCATTTAAAGATTTATCTTTTGAGTCAATGCCCAGAAGAGTCAGAATCCTTCCACTTTCATATGCTTCAACAATATCTGAAATGCATTAGGAAAAAAAGAAAAAGGTAAGAACATATTCATAAGTAAATGGTGGAAGGGAAGAAGGTGGAGCTTAGTTACCATCAGAGCCACCCAAGTGCTTTCCATGGATAAATACTTGAGGCACTGTATGCTTCCCGACCATCCCAGACAAGGCATCCTGAATTTGAGATCCATCCTCTAAGAAGAAGGGGAAACAAAAATGAAAAATCTATCTATTGATTCTACAATGATTTGCAGATGATGTCGATTGCCAATGTTAGTGGAGATAGTCACCAGTCTAGGGAACATATTATTCTAGAAAACTCTTGACTATGTTAACAAAATATGCTTCAACCACGTAGTAAAGTAATCATAAGCAGCAATATTATTGTGTATATATATATATGATAAAAGAAAGGAAAGCTCCAACTCAGGATGACCGGATCGAACTTAAGATTACTAGTTAAAAGTGAGTGAACTGTCATATGATCTATTGTACCAATCCTTCTAACAATTATGTTAGGTACCTCGGTTAATAGGCAGGGACGTTGATTCGTTTGACTACTTCCTTAACATGTGTAATTTAAATACAATATGTAAACAAAATTTACTGTCTCAATATGACTTCCCTGCAAGTTTCTTGGTTTTTATGATTTCTGTTAAATTTTAATGCTTAAAGGTGAGAACTAGAGATTCCCACAAATACTAGGCAACGAAATATCCACAAAACGAGGCATTTTTGCTTCTTTTCTGGCTGTAATTCTGTATATTACATATTAGGGAATCTTGAAACCAATGTGGAATAGCTTGCTTTGAGGTGCATGGAACAAGACGAATGCAAGAAATCACACTGCATAGACAGTCAAACTTAGTTTGAAATTCTAACTTTCGACAGGCATTACTTCTGATCCTGAGAGCAGGATGCTGCTTTTCATCAAAATGCAAAAATAAGCCCTATACAATGCCATTTTTAAGCTCAAATTACAATTTCATGGGTCCTATTTTCCAATTTCCTAGTAATTTTTAAAACTGTTTTGCATTTTAAACTTTCCAATTACGGTCCCAGGGTTGTTATGAGACAAATAAATATCACAGTGATGACTTAGGGCAGAACTATTTGCAATGAATGTTTTCCATTTCCTTTCTCCACCTGTCACAAACCTCCTTGCTATTTGCTTTGTCAAGTTTGTTTTGTCAAGTTTGAAAAAGTTGTTTGCCTCTTATTTTAAGTTATATTACAATCTCTTTTCTTTTTTTTGTTTCTTGAAGACCTAAATTGTACAATATTAAAGAACTAATGAAACTATAATTCAACATAAGGCCTTAGAGACAGGTAAATTAAGAAGAACTTGAAGGTTCAGCAAACAAACCACACTGATCCAGCTCCACAACAGAAGGCGCTTTTTTCGATTCCTTAAAGACAGCTTTCGCCCTTCGACAGCACCTGTCCCACCAAATGTGAATGGTAAATATCTCGTTAGCATTCTGAGTCCAGTTTAGACTAAGAAATTAAAACTGAATCAAAATGATCAATTCTTTTAAGTTCAATGACTAACTGAACTCCAACGAATACAAGTACATGTATGAAGAAGCATCTTAAGGTGAGAATTTATGTACAGAGTAAGGAAGGTGGAAGTCCACCGCACGAACAATATGCTTGTCGTAGATAATAATGTTCGACTCATTGGCAGATGCCCAGCAACGAGAAGAGCTCCAGAACTTAGGATTGCCAGGAGGACCACACCAAGAACAAGAAACAACATTGCATGTTCTTCCAGTCCATCTTAAAGAAAGTAACAATCGAGTATTAAGAATGCAGAGTTAAGCATCGTAAAAGCAACAAATGTAGGTTGTAGCTACCAAAAACCAATCATAATTCGGAAAGATACATTTAATTCCAGAAGTGTGTGAATTGACATCAAGAATTACTTAAACAGGAGGTTTATGACATAAAACCATCAGCAAGTTTAAAATCAAAACTACAGCCCCACTTAGAAGAAATCTTTGGACAACCTCACACCCTTATATGTGGCTCCTATGAACTCCCGAGTACTAGAGAAGTCTCAAATGCTCTGAATTCTCTCTAGGAACACTTAGAATGAACAGTTGCCTCCACGATGCAGAAGTTTCTACAACTGCATGTTAGATTGTTGAGAAAGACTCTCGTCAACCATCATTTTATACGTTCATCAAATCTAAACAATGGTCGAACTTCGACTCTGCTATCAGCAATAATCTTTGCGATCGCCAGCCGCCGTAATAAAACTCAATTACTAGAAAAGCTGCAAAGAAGTTGAGGAACAAGTGACACGATACCAAAATTGACTCACTCGGTGTATGTACCAAAATTATAATTCGTCGGCATCTATTTAGTCCGGAAAAGAGGGTTAGTCTCTCAGACGATGCGAGACTTTCCTTTTTGGTTCCCGGACGATGGACAAGAATACGTTTCTCCTTCCGGGGAGGTGAGAGCACAAACCAAAATCTACTGTCGAGCAATAAATCACCATAGCCAACGACAAGTTAAACGAAATGTTCGAACCAGGACGCGGTCACCAAAGAGATCCATCGAGCTATTGTAGCAGAGAGAAAAAGGGAAAAGGGAGAGGCGAACGCAGGAGCAGTGCGACTTGGAGAAGATGACGATGTCGTGGGAGGAGACGGTCTTGTTGACGAAAGCGACCGAGGGGCCCAGGAGGGAGGCCGCCACCGCGAGCGCAGCCACCGTCGCCATTCCAAGCCGACGTCCCCCCATCGTCTGGGACAACGGCGACCTCGAAGACATCTTTAATGATTGTTCCAAGTGTACCCTTCAAGAATTTTGTCCGGGAGGGACTCGGGACAATTTGGCTATAGCCATCAAATCTTTTTTGTCTGCATCTTGTTGGTTTGATCTGTTCAGATGCCAATGATTGTACTCACTATCGTTTTAAGGTAAAATTTAAATTTTCTACCTAGGAAAAAAACAAACACTAGTATGCATGGAGTCTCATCGTCATCCACGAAACAACTCGATTCGACCAGTACAAGAGGATGAGTCTGTGACAAAACGAGATGATGCCGTGAATGACAGGACATGGAGTTCATCTCAGATGTGAACGATTGTAACCTTTAGAATAAAACAAACTGCTCCACATCATCGATAAAACAACTCGATTAGACCAGTAAAAGAACATAAGTTTCTGATCAAAGATAGAGAAATCTTATTGGGTACAATTTTCTGTACACCTGTCTAAATTTATTTTAATAAATCATATGCCCCTAGAAAAGAATTTGACCCATCAAAACCTTCCTTATCTCCTGCAAAAAAATAAAAAATAAGAACTATTTTAACCGCTCGTTTATTTTTTATTTTTTATTTTTTTTTGCAAGCCATTTTCCCACAATGGGATAGCAACAATAATGGAAAAAAAAACCCAGCATGGAATTATCAGTCCATATTGAATATATATATATAAAAAAAAAACTTTCTGCTGTTAATTCTAGCAACCTGGAAGACCCTTGTACCTGAACACAAAGTACTCTGTGAAGGGTGTTACAGGACCTCAGCAGTTTCTCAAGGTCTTTACTCAACATGCAACCTGATGTTGTGAACACAAGGATCAAATATGCTCTCGAATTAAGTTTTCTCATCACTTAATCCCCTCCAGAATTAAAATGATTTGGCACAATATTCATTCGACCAGTACAACATGACAAAATCTTTGATATACAATGCTCATATTGTAGGCGACAGGACATCATATTAATCACACTTTAATCAAGCTACAAGAATGGACAATTCATTGGTTTGCAATGCCAAGATATAAGATACTGTTTGCTTGCCATGTCATGCTAAAGACCAATCCAACATATTACACCAATCCAGCCAATCATCTTTTTTCTTTCAGAAAAAGAAAATTTGCTACAGGAGGTAAAATAATTTTATATGGCATGACAATCATCTACTTGAAATCCAAAATTTTGTGAGAAAAGGTCCCTTTCTGCATGTGTACTAGCATCTAAATAACTATCTGCAGGTGAACTCAAGCAGATGGCAGTTATCTTCTAGAATCAAGCAGTACTTGCAAATTGGAACATTAAAAAATATCTTCTCGACAATAAATCAATGTTACCACTACACAGCAATAACAAAGAAATACCTCTTGCTTGCAGAGTAAAAGTTGACGGTCCTTCTCATATCAGTCAATGGCACAAGCCCCGTGTGCTTGGTGTTAACAAAAGTCATCAAGATATGATGGTGACTAAAGGTTTCTTCTAACACTTACTGACATTGTTAGTGTGAGCCTTTTCTTCTGTGTTATTCACTAAAAATTGAATGATTAAAATAACTTATGTATCTTCTTGAAAATTATATCCCTTCTCCAACAAATGAAGAAGCCTAGATATACAAAGAAAGAATGTTTCTGGCATCTTGTTGCGAGAATAAACTGCCAGTGATAAAAATATATCAAGAAGAAATCTATGGGTATCAGACTTCAATAGTGTTCGAAGAAACATTGCAGTCCATACCTCCGGTGCAAAACTAATAGCTTGTTGTAACGACCGGAACCCATTGACCAATCTCATGACTAGAGCATCACTCTGTTATATTAAAGAAATGATATGTTAAAAAAACAGAATTTTTAGCACAAAGTAATAATGCAACTAATTGAATATAAAAGGCACCTAAAATCTTTCAAAGAATCTAAATGGTGCCCAAGTGTAAAATTAAACAGCATATATAACTGTAGGTGATTTCTCTGTATCTGACTCACAGGAAATCACTTTTTCCCTTTCACTTCAAAAAGAAAAACCTTCTGCTGCACGAAGTTAAAAATTTAATAAAATACTGAAATCATATGAGTTAATCCATGTTCCACATGAAGGAACCATATGTAATGTACATTTGCTAATTTACATGATTGGTTAATCAAGAAAGCAATCTACAAATAAAAAAATAGTCCATAAAAGCTTGCCAAATATGTGCAGGGGGAAGGGAGAGAGGCAAGGGAAAAAAAACAAGACTGAAGACTCAGATCAGTACTCTAAGAATGGCCTTGTGATGCTGAGATCAAACATAGAGGTTACGAAGTCTAAAATTTATAATAGGTCTTCCATTTATGTCAAAAACTTATATCATGTTGTAGAAATGAAATAACTGCCTTTCTAGAAAATCTTATGATGTTAAACTTTATTGATGTTAGTATAAGGTAACTAACCTCCGTATCAAATCTTTCTTTTGCCTCTGGCTTGTTACATATACATGGCAAAGCTTCTTCTTCCAGAAAAGCATCAGCAGCTTTGACAATATCTTGAATGAGAAAAACACGAACCCTCCAACCTTTTTCTGACAAAATAAAACAAAACAAATCTTCTGTAGCAGCAACAACTGAACGCATGTCAAAAGTTTTCCATGTCAGAGGAGTTTCATTTGCTGACTCAGATGACTGTTCAGAGATAGCCGCTATCTGTAGACATCAGAAGCAGGTCATAGAACAAGTTATCTGAACTGAAAACTTCAAACAACAAAGACCAGTTGCAATTTTGGCAAAGGAGAACAATGACCAGAAAAATATAGAAACATAAAAACTCTGCTGTAACATCTAATGCAAACCATACAAGTTGAAGTTGCCAGAATTTCTATTAGAATATGTAACCAGATCAGTCTGCTAAACAGTAACAAGGATTATGAGTTAAATTTTAGCTTGATTCCTGTTGTGTGTATATCAGTGCTTTAAGGTTTTGGGGGGATTTTCAGATGATGGGTGTTCAAAGCATGGATTGATATTTTGGTCTATGCTGGAGGTGTAGACGAACTGTACGATATAGAGAAAGAAACAGTACTCGATTGAGGCATCTCAAGTGGGAGGCTTGATAGCCGGCTAGGATCAAAGAGATATTGAATTGAACAGCTGATCTCCTATGTTGCAGGCATGAACAGACCCAAAGGTGAGTTGGACTCAGTAGACCAAATAAAGGTTCATGAACTATTTTCTTGTGTAGTTTGGTCTGTAATTTGATCTGAACAAAATCCTGTGCTCTAGGTTCGCCAGACCTAACTATCATGCACCATGTTAGCCATTGGCTGACACCATTAAGGCATGCTCCAACATTTGAATCCTTGATTTCAAGTTCTAGATCTCAAGAGTCTGAAAATTTGAAACTTCAAATCTCTCAGCCAGAGACCACTTTGATTCCAGAAGAGATTATCAGAAACACCTACTAGATCAGCATGTCCTTTTATCTGCACTCGTCATCATTTTTCTTTATACACTTGTGATTGACTAAGAAGAGTTCAATTTCTTGTGCAGGATAAGACAACTGTTCTTGCATGTAGAGGTTTCCAAAAGAAGCCAACAAGTATCTGTTTCTTGCAAATTAAGAAAACCATAGCCTTTTTGTATTTCTTCTTTCTTTTTCTCTCTTCTTCTTACTTGCGAAAGTGATTTATTCCAAACACTAATTGTACAACAGAGTCACATTCATCACAGAAATTCAATAAATCAATTAGTCAAAAACAATTCAATTCCAGTCATAACATTTGATAAAAGCTGCACCAAAGGTTGATGGTACATAATCCAGTATGAAAGATTAGAATAATGCTTCTAATGATAAAACTAGCAGTAAAATAAAATACAAGTTTTTTTCTCACCAAACGTTCAAGCCGATTCCAGCGTATTGAACCATTGCTACGTATAATCAGTTCCCTTAGTATTTTCCTCATATCGGGATTCGGGTCTGCAAGAAGTCTCCCGATGACAAAAGGATACGCACTTTCTACAACTTTGAAATCAGGATCCAATGCTTTTGCAGTTCCTTCCAACGATCCCAGTGCCCTTATAACCAATGCATAGTCAGGTGGTAGATAGAAGTTGAACTCATACATTACAGCATATAATTGATCCATTATCCCCTGCATCAAATTTAAAAAATGTTTCTTAAAAAATGCTTAACAGATTAGTCATTTTGTTGAGAAGATTGACAATGACGATGGGAAGATTACATGTGGACAGAGATCACTTTATGCCCACAAACCTGTGATGTCAGATGCTGACAACCAAGAATCATGGGGTTCAACCGGACGTTCAATGTTTTGTGTAATGTTTGGATGGCCTCACTAATCGGCAAACCATATGCTATACTCCGAAAGAAGCAGATTTCTGTCAGCAAAGTCAACTAGGAATATAGTGTAACTTCAATATTCACCAAAGCACCTCTAACATGATCTTTTCCTTCATTCTTAAAGCTCCACCAGGAAGTTACCAATGAGTCCTGTCCTGAATTCCTTTAAAATTTCTTATACCAAATATATTAATAATTTTAAGCCTTCAACAATTCTGTTTAATAAATGAATCATAGTGCCTAACAAGGATCTTAGCAGTTTCCACTTTCATGTACATTAAGCACTAGTAATCTACAAACCTGTTGGTACCTTATCTTCTGTATTGTTGACTTGATAATATTGGAATCCCATGTACCCATCATCATACTGGTCTTAAAAGTTAAAACCATCTCTCAAGAGAATAAGAACAGTCCTAACTTGGCTCCTTGGAAAATATCTTATTTTTGCTGCCCACTCCTTTAAATCAATGTTCAACTTTAGCAAATCTGAGTTGGCTTGACTATCTTCTAAGTATTGGTTTCTCTAATTAGTTTATGAAAAAAGAATTGTATACAGTCAAACATAACATGTTTAACTGACTATAATCTCAAAACAGTCCAACTAACCCCACTCACGGACCTTTTATTTTAGACCTCTTGCCTCACCAATAC